ATTGGAGTATGTTACAAAAGTATCGGCAGAAAGGGCAAACAGGGAAATGCCTTTGGGAATAACAAGGTGCACTATTTTAAATAATACACTGTCATATGACATTTTTATTTTTAAATTTACTTATTACGAGTATTATTCTCCACTTATTTCTACATAGGCTATGGTGACACAACCAATCCTTATTTGAATATTTATAATTTTTTTCATCAGTTTAGTTAAAGTTTATAGTGATTTTGATTCTATATCTGGAATTTCCAATATCAACATACTGTTCATCTATCTGACTATGGGGATGCCACTACAGTCTCCTCTATTACTGCAATGAGAAATAAGTTTAATACATTTTCTAAGCCTAATATTTAGTTTCTAATTCTAATCTAATTTTAGGTTTCTTGGAGCTTAAATCAGCAGCACGACAGGAAATTGGCTGCCTGGCACAACCGTAAGAAGACCCGCCTCATGCACCAAATGACTGGGAGTCGAGTGGCTGTAGCCCTGGACTACTGTGCGGGCACCATCACCTTCTCTGAGGTGGGAGCCTTTGGAAACCTCACACACATTCACACTTTTTCAGCATCTCTCACTGAGCCTGTGTGTCTGGGCTTTGGACTCTACAAAGTGGAGCTCAACAGTCGTATAGCTATTGTCAAAATTTGAGTTTTCCTAAAAATGGCTTGGAGAAATTTATGCGTTCAAATGTGCAACTCACTTTGAGCAATAAACACAGCAGTATGACAACTGATTATATTTTCTTTTGTTCTTTGAAAGCATAGTGAAAACAGATGGCCAAGTTATTTGAAGCAGCTTGTAGTGGGTGAACAAATGAATGCTACTAGATTTAGTTTATACAGACTAGTATGTAAGATCAATATGTTTATTTACTATACATATAAATTACATAACATGCCTCATTGGTTCAGTGGATTAAACTACCAACTCTTTCCTAATTGCATCCTGTTATTTCGCTATATTATTTCTTGTCATATTTCCTGCCTTTCTATCTATTATAGACAAAGACAAATGCTGCTCACATTTACTTGGTTTCAGTTGTGTTATTCATGTATTTCAGTACCAAAAGTATGCCACAATGGGAATGTGACACTTAAAACTGATCTAGTTTGTGCACATAAAATATTGTTGTAATTTGTGGAGGTATTAAAGGCGTGAGTGGGCGGATGAAGCAGAGAGTGAGAAAGCAGCAAACAGAAGAGGGGCGGCTAGTGAGATGGAGAGACACACGGGGAGGTGAGAGAGAGGCAATCAGACGTATGCTGCCTTTGTTTAGATTACACAGGGACACAACACAAGGACACTCAAATATCTTCATTCAACCAAACAAGGTAATTATTTTTTATTTACATTTGACTAAAATCACAACAAGTAGAACTATGGAAAATGGAGAACATTTATATTTAAATTAGATTTGTTGTGTATTAGTGGAAGAAATAATACTTGTAGTAAAGACTGTCACATGGTAAATCATTGATTACTTTTTTGATTTGACACATCCTGGCACACATATTTTAGGCTACAAGAATTATCACAATCATATTGAAATAACACTTTTATTGGTTGCAAAGGCTACAACAAAGCAGAAAAAAAAAATCTTGTTGCCACAGGGTAGTGTTATGCATCACACCTGCGAACCCTGAAATGCATGTGATTCTTCTATTTGTCTACCAACTTATATTTCAATAGATTTAGCATGAATTTTGTCTTAGTTAGAAGAATCGCAATTAGGTGTTTTTTCCCCAAGTCATTGAACTGCAGACTGTGTGTAAAGCTTTTTTTTCTGATTCTGAAAGCTACATAGTGAAAGTGTTGTTGAATGGGTTTGGGAGGGGTGAAGGGGATATTGTATGTGCATAAAAAGCAGATGGTCACTCAGTGGAGTTGTCCCTAAACCTCAGTTTCCCTCTGCTTCCCTCCTGAGTCCTGCATCCTTCCCTTGACACCCATCCAGATCCTTACCTTTGTTCTTTGGACTCGTCTTCTCATGTCTTTTTTTTCTTATCCCCAGCTATTTTCCTTCAGCCTGGGTGTCAGCGGGTATCCGTTTTTTATATTATTTTTTTGCTGAATACAACAGTGTGGGGAGGCCTGACCTATCTGAGACAGCAACTAAAAAGTAACTTGTTAGATCCAGGATTAATGAATGAGTGAATAGACAGATTGGAGCAAATAAAAGGATTTGATTATATACTATGACTATGACTCACCAAATGTGAATAAATTTGCTGACCGCTATTTAAATTTTTTGTCAGTATACTTTGCTAATACTAACTTTTCCAACTAATAACACTACATACACATTTCATGACATTTTAAAGAAAATTCCCAAATATCAAATCTTTAACCATAGCATGTTTTCCCTTACTTTCAATTGTTCATAGTATAGTAGCTCAATTTACCATGCATATCAGGCCTCTCCCCTTTGAACTCTGTATACTGCTGGTGGGGCTTCTGATCTGGGGAGCCTATGGTCAGAATGACACTGAGCCCATCGTACTTGAAGGAAAGTGTTTAGTAGTTTGTGACTCCACTCCCTCATCCGAACCGGCCGGTAATGCCTTGGGGATGTCTGTGCGCTCGGGGTCAGGACGAGTTGCCTTTTCTGCCAGTCGCCAAACCAACCACGAGCCAACAGACATGAGCAACCGCACAATGATCATCTATTTTGACAATGTGAGTCTCTTCAAATCTAGACATGAAATTTGATTAAACTGTATTTTATCTTTAATTAAAGGTACACTTTGTAACTTTTGTGGTAGAGGGCTGGCCACCTGCTTGTCACCATGAATATGTTATCACTTTGTCAGGAATGTTCCATAGTGCAGGATTAAACTTCTCCAAGGTGACAAGCAGGAGATGCCACTAGGCAGATCTATGGAGAAGCAACTCCTCTCTAAGTAAGAATGGATGTATTTCTGAGCTATACAAATGCCTGTTAAATAAACTGAATAAATGAAAAACAGATTAATAGTTTAATATTATTCTGAGGAAGCAATAACATCTCCATGGAGATATTTTTGGGGTGTTGTAGCACTAGTTACATCCACATTTTGTTATTTTGTTGAATTAGATTTTGGTGAATGTTGGCAGTCACTTTGACCACGAGAGCAGCATTTTCCTGGCACCAAGAAGAGGAGTCTACAGTTTCAACTTTCACGTTGTGAAAGCATATAATCGACAAACTATACAGGTGAGGTTATAATTAGTATACAAGTGATGGCTGTGGGTCATATCTAATAAAATAATTCTATTTGTTCTTAGGTGAGCCTGATGGTGAATGGGTGGCCCATGATTTCTGCTTTTGCCGGAGATCAGGATGTGATTAGGGAAGCTGCAACTAACGCTGGCCTCGTCATCATGGAGAAGGGGGATAAGGCCTACCTCAGACTGGAGAGGGGCAACCTGATGGGCGGATGGAAATACTCAACTTTCTCAGGCTTCTTGGTGTTTCCATTGTGAGGAAGAACAATGCAGTAGACAACTGCAGAATGAAGAAAATTAACATCTCTCTATACCATGCATGAACAAATGTGTTTTATGCAAAATCATGGTCTGTGTAATGCATTATACACCAATAAGGAATAACATTTTGGCTACTGACAAATAAGAAGGCTTTGATCTGTTGCAGTTGTAAATATTTCAGTATTTTTTTCAAGGCCCAAGTATGCTATGTAGAATTAAAAGTGATCCAAGGAGGAGACAGTGGTCAAATTCTTAAGGAGTGGAGGACATTTAATCAGAAACATCCTACTTACACTGCAGCTCATTATGTTATTCCCGAGTGTTGTATATGTATTGGTTCCATTTAATAATAGAAGTGATGATTTAAGTATTCAGAAATTTGTTGTCATTATGTACAATGTGGGCTTTTTCTGTGTTACAACTCTTGTTGCACACTTTATTTATTTAATCCACCACATTTGAAACACTGCTGTGCACCACATGGCCCCGTGTTTATCTTAAGACCATGCCAAGTTTGTTCTCTATTCTCCTGTGTTGTATGACTACCCCTCTAGATCCTATGCCAGAATGTCTATAATCTGCAACAAATTTCTATTTATAGAGAGATTTAATATATTAAACTAATAAATTATATTATTGTTTGTGTTTTTGTGTGTGGTTTAATGTGCGAGTCTGTTGGAAGTTTTATGTCAAATAGGCAGTGATGGATTATTATGTCTGTACCTGTCTATAAGAAAATAGTTCAAGTTTATGAGCAAATTGGACATCAGGTTTCTTCCCCTCCCTCCTTTGATATTCCGCTCTGTGCCATGACAGATGTTTGTAAATATAGCTCTCACCAGCAGAGTTGGCGTTGGCGTTTACCAGGCACACCGGCGTGAGGCGGATGCTCCACGCAGAGCAATGGACAGATGGAGGCTTTGGCGGAGCGCTGCAGGATTGCCGTGGATAAAGTGAAGAGTGCTGTCACATGGAGTCACTTATGGACAGTTTCCCATTCTGGTCATGGATTGTGGCACAATTATTTGTCTTCTTATAAACATAGGGTAACTATGACTTCATCCTAAAACTTTAATTACTACCCCCGCTTAGATTTACAACAAGAATGACAAATGCCTGATCGCCAGTGAGACTAAAGAATATAGACGACTACTTTTTAGGAAGTAGGGACAATTATAGGCTATTTTCACAACCCAAAAATATAGGCCTGTTTATTAATTATAGACTAAACGTGTTGGGTAGTATTTGTATAATTTAGCCTGCTAAAATAACAATATAACATAAAAATTACGGAGAAAGATCGTTTAGTTCAAACAACTTGACTGGCCAAGTTAGTGCTCTAGTGGTCAGTAGAGTGCGCGGTTCAAGTTTAAGATTTTCCTCTTTGACCACTAGATGGCACTAAAACAAATGTAATGCTAAAGCATCTATGTGCTAGAGCCATCAAATACCAAAACCCGTCTCCGTGTGTTGACATGTGTAATTACAAACGATTCTAATTAGAGTGAATATAGTAAGTCTTTTTGCTCTAACTGTTTCCATTATAAATAAATAAAAATAAAAAAAGCTAAATATTGATCGCAGATTGTTTCGTTCACCTAGAATTTATTCCCGAGCTTGTGTAATGAATGTGAAAAAGACAGTGGCTTAATCAAAGACCACAAGGTTGGCGTTCAAAATGTTTTAATTACATTAAATGGTTTAACATTTGCAGCTAGTCATGTAAACATCACTATTTGGGTTAATGGGTATCTTTAAGTGTTATTAACGATGTAAGGAGTAGATCATTCAGTCAAATGATCCAAGCTAGGCCGCATTTATTGCTTCCTCAACCAAACCCGGTGTTTATCCCGCCCTAAAGACGTCGTATATATGATTGGCAATTAACTTAGCCAATAAAATATCAGTGTGTTGCCGGCTTGGACACACGCTCACCAATCGCTGTTCGTGAGACTCGAAAAATACACCCACTCTGCTTTCTCTGGCAAGAAGGTTAGTTCCTGCTCTCCTCTGGCCGTTTCCTGTAATCGTACAGTGTTGTGAGACGGAGAAAGCCATGTGTGTCGATGCAAAGGTAAATTTAGCACCCGAAATATCACTGAGAGTGTTAGGGCAGTTGATATGATAGTTATTTTCAGATATTTTTGCCGAATAACAGGCGCAGGTCAACCGAAAGACTATTGCGGCCTAACCCTAGTCTGAACGTAGACGGCAATGGTTATTGTGGCACGCTGCTTTGGTTTGGTCCGGTTTGTTGATGAGGTTGAAGCAGTCCCGAAGACTTGGTGGTCGATAGGAAATGACAGTGAGGCAAACTAATCACTCTTAACGTACAAATTATGCTATTTATTAACACCAAAACGAGTAGTTTGCTTATGGACGTGTGTAAAACGGGCACATTGGTGGCGGCACAAGCTAATGCTAACCCATGGGTTTGGGATAAAGACTGCAACGCGAACAGAGCATAGCATCCCAGCTCACAGCATCAGTACCCTCCTCACTGACCTCACAACCAACTTTTCATTCATGGATTTTGAAGTGGGTTCACTTCCCTGTGCAACCTTTGTGACTAACTTGGGCTGTATTATTTTTATGATCCTTTAGCATTTTCTGAACATTAATGATGTAGCTTAAATAAGAACAAGAAGGTATCTTGTATGCTGAAAAAAAGTTTTATTTGTGCAGTGTTTTAACTGGCTGCTTGGAAAACCTTATTAATTTCTCCTCGGTCAAAATAACTTGCATATTTATGTATGGTTAATAATCTAAATGATCATTAGGTTTATTGATCATGTATTTTCAGTCCAAAACAGATCAACATGATAACCAGTTTTATAAATTAATGGAACCTTATAGCAAATTTTAACTATTTATGCCATTCTTTCTGTTTTTATCTTCAGGTTACTATTTTAATTGGTTCAGTTTACCGGAGGTTTTTATAGAAGTAACGCCTCCCACTCTCTTTTTCAGTTTCATTAATCAAAACAAAGAACTGGACAACTAATTGTAGCCTCCATCTAAGCGTCCCTGCAGTATTGTGCCCATCTCCCTTTGTGGAGGGGGCAAAATGGCCGATCCAATCATGGACCTCTTTGAGGATACACCTCTGTTCAACCTGGACGCCATACCGGACGATTCTTTCACTCAGGGCTCCTCAGATCCCGTGGAGGAGGCCCTGAAGCTAGCACTGGGCCAGGTTGACCCACTCTCTGAGCCCGAACCCACTCCAGAGCTAACAGTCAACACTGGTCTGAGTATACATGCAGCAACTCCTGTCATCCCAGAGCCTGTTCCCATCCAAATCTCTGCACCTCAACCTGTCCCAATAGCACCTGCCCAGACTGTTTCTTTAGCACCAGCCCCTGCAGTTGAAACGGTTCAGCAGATCCAGACCTCTGTGCCCACCGGTAACACCGTGCTGCTGAGCTCTCCTCTGACTGTTTCTACCGCTCAAACCGCCACCACTGCCACCTCACAGCAGCTCACTCAGATCACTCACCAGCTCACACCCCAGCAGCTCGCCGCCATCACACAACAGGCAGGCGGGAAAATCGTCATCCTCAAAGGGCCCCAGGGTCAAGCTCAGGTGCTGCAGACTGTGTCTGGAGCTACAGGACAGACTGGTGGAAAGGTCATTCGACTGTTGTCTGGAACCTCCCTAAAACCCGGCATGTCAATTTTGCAAGGAGGAACAGTTCTGAATCAGGCAAATGCAGGACAGACTCAAGTTAAAGTGGGCACTGCGGGAGTACAGAGGCTGCTACACTCTCCCAACGGGCCAGTCAAACAGGTGCTGCTGACCTCCATGCCCCAGCAGGTGCAGCAGACGCAGGGCCAGTCAGTTCAGGTTCAGATTCCAGCAGCTGCTCAAGTTGCCCAGGTCCAACCACAGACAGTCCAGGTCCAGACTCAAGTCCAGTCTCAAGCTCAGACCACTCAAATCCAAGTCCAGCCGCAGACGGTCCAGGTCCAGCCGCAGACGGTCCAAGCCCAGACTACTCAAATTCAAGTCCAGCCTCAGGTCCAGACCCAGGTGCAGCTCCAGCCCGCCATGCAGCCCCAAACTCCGGTAAATCGCTCTTTCTCTGTCTTTCTAAGCTGCCTGTCTGTGTAGCTTTTTGCTTATGGTGATCATGATTTTAGGGAAGTGAAGCAAAGCGTATCACACTCGTCCTCCAGCAGCCGTCTCAAAGCAGCACAGCGTCTGCCCCAGCAGCTCAGACTGTGGCCCAGCAGCAGCCGGTGGCTCAGGTCCAAGTTGCTCAACAGCAGCAGCCGCAGACGCCCACCAGGCTTGTGTTGGGGCAGCTTCCCGGAGGAAAACTGGTGCTACAAGGGAGCCAGCTAGCTGCCCTAACCCAGGCTCGGACAGCAGGGCAGCCTGGGGGACAGCCAAAAGTCCTCACCATTCAACTGCAAGTGCAACAGCAGCCCAACCAACAGGGGGGTGTCAAGGTAATAAGAACACATCTCATTTGCTTTTTGTGTTTTACTGTCTTGTAAGGAATTTTGCTTGGTGAAAAAAATGTAAAAATAAACACTTTTTAAATTTTTTTTTATTATAGTATCAGCTGGTTTCTGGAGCCAGTAATACTGGCAGCCCACAAGTCTTGCAGATTTCCCAGGGCCAGGGAGGACAGAGGGTTGCATTGCCTCTTAAAATGCTTCTGCAGCCACAGGTATAACTTTTAGATGCATATTTTTACAGCTATGGTGAGTCTTTAAATATTGAGGTTAACTGATTGTTAATCATTCTAGGCTAGCTCAGCATCCTCAGCAGGTGGCACTGTTTCTGTAGTGAAGGTAATAAACTCTTCAGCTGCTGGTACCTCAACCACAACCACCTCTCCATCCCAGGCCATTCGCATCACGAAGGCGAGTGGTGAACCAGCCTCTGTGAGGCGTGTGGAGATCCTGTGCAAACAAGAAAAGGCTAATCGGATTGTGGCTGAAGCTATAGCCCGTGCTAAAGCACGTGGAGAGAAGAACCTCCCAAGAGTCTTGAACCAGGATGAACTTCCAGCGTCACAAATGTCTCCAGAAATAGGCGGCACTGTGACTGTTGTCACCACTCCAAAAAAAAAGAGCAGTGGAGGAGGGAGCAAGAAGAAAACACCTTTAGCCTCAACACCCAAAATGGGTGCAGTGGCCGATAAAAAGGGCAAAGCGAAGCCGCCAGGGGGAACAATCACAGTGATTGGGGGCACAGTAATGACAGCATCTGGAAACAAAAGCAAGAGCAAAACTAAACCAAAGTTAGTTAAACTCATGTTGGTTTGTGACTCATGACCTTTGCAGAAGTAATCAATGTTTTATCATCTGTTTCAGCACAATTACCCTTGTGGGTGCAAAGAAAAGAAAGCGCAATGCATCTTCTGACCACTCAGATGGAGAACTTAGCCCAGCCTCACCGGCTATGCTTGATGAAGACCTGATCATGGTACATATTTGAGAAGCTTAAAAACGTCACCAAGAACACAACGTGCATTTTTAACTTGATCCAGTCAATTCCTGTTACTATTAAACCAACTTTAAGTTCTTTCAAATTGTGTAGTATGTTAATTCATTTTTCTCTCATCTTTGATTCTTTGCCTAGAAGAGGCGTTCCAATCGAGTAGTGAAAAGAAAGAAATACACTGAAGACTTGGACATTAAAATCACAGACGATGAGGACGAGCAGGAGGATGTAGATGTTACTACAACTGCTGCAGCGGTGGCCTCCATCAGTGGTGTGCCTCCTGTTCACATCCCTCAAGAAGTGGAGCTGGATGGTGATGGTTTACCCAGCATGCAGTTCTTTGTGGTGAGACTTACCATTCTAATGAAAAATGTGGCAAACGTCAGTTTACATTTAAAAATTTATTTGACAAAATGTTCTCAGGAAAACCCAAGTGAGGAAGATGCAGCTATTGTTGACAAAATATTGTCTGTGAGGTTAACTAAAAAAGAGGTATGTTTTTTCATATTATTCATAGTTAGAGCATTTATTTTAACCTTAATTGTTTTACCGGGGAGAACTATTATGTTGTGTTACATGTATCTCTCCTCCTTTTCTGCAGGTGTGCCCTGGCCAGTACACCAATGTTGAAGAATTTTTTGTTAAATATAAAAATTAGTAAGTCTCCTCATTTATTAATCCTTAAATTAAAAATTCATTAAATTAAATTAATTCACTTATTTTCCATTTTAAAGTTATCTTTATCTTTAACTTCAATTAATAATTACACATGATCACTGTATTTTGTGTACAGTTCATATCTCCATTGTGAGTGGGCCACTATGGAGCAGCTGGAAAAAGATAAAAGGATAACACAAAAGATTAAGCGATTTAGGACAAAGCACGCACAAATGAGGCATATATTCCAAGAGGTACGACCCCCTACATCCATGCATGTAATTTGTTTTATTTGCCTTTATGATTTACATTAATGACGTTTGCACTTTCATTTAGGAGGAAGAGCCTTTTAATCCGGACTATGTGGAGGTGGACCGCATTCTAGATGTATCCCACAGTGTGGACAAGGACAATGGAGAGGTAGAGAAGTCAAAACAAACTTATAATTTGTCTCGTTTCTGCCCATTGTCTCTAATGGGCTTCTATCTCATTCCCTCCACCAGCCTGTCATTTATTATTTAGTGAAGTGGTGCTCCCTCCCTTATGAGGATGCCACCTGGGAGCTTAAAGAAGATGTTGATGAGGGCAAAGTTGAGGAGTTCAACAAAATTAAAAACCGACAACCTCGTCTGAAAAGAATGGTTTGTTTTACACATCAAAGCTTTTTTATGTTTCTCAAAAAACAAAGTTTAAACTGTTTATCTTGTGTTTTTTTTCAGCCCAGACCACCTGCTGCTTCTTGGAAGAAATTGGAAGATACACGGGAATACAAAAATGGCAATATTCTTCGAGAGTACCAGCTTGAAGGAGTTAACTGGCTGCTCTTCAATTGGTACAACAGGTACTCAACTTTTCCTGTAACATTGTTCTTGTGACTCTTTTGTAAAAAATGATTAACCGTGTATTCCTACTTCTGTTTTAGACAAAACTGCATATTAGCGGATGAGATGGGGCTTGGAAAGACTATTCAGTCTATTGCATTACTGTCTGAAATATACAATGCCGGCATTCAAGGCCCCTTTCTGGTCATTGCTCCACTCTCAACTATCACCAACTGGGAAAGGGAGTTCTCCACGTGGACTCATATGAATGCCATTGTTTATCATGGGAGTTTGGCCAGTAGACAGATGATCCAGCAGTATGAGATGTACTGCAAGGATGATAAGGTGGAGTGGACTTTTTACAAGCTGTTACTTGTTAAGCTGTAGTATCAGCATTAGTAAATATGATTCTTCTGTGTCTGCAGGAGCATTTGATTCCTGGTGCATACAAATTTGATGCCCTGATCACCACCTTTGAAATGGTGTTGTCCGACTGTCCAGAGCTGAGAGAGATCTCCTGGCGTTGTGTCATTATTGATGAAGCCCATCGTCTTAAGAATCGCAACTGCAAGCTACTAGACAGTCTGAAAATGCTTGACCTGGTCAGAAGATGCACCTACAACAGCATATAGTTGGTGATAAAATACATCTTACTTAATTTTTTTTAATGATTTTGTCATTGTGCTTATAGGAACACAAGGTTTTATTGACTGGCACCCCTCTTCAAAACACTGTGGAGGAACTGTTCAGTCTGTTGCACTTCCTTGAGCCTGCACAGTTCCCATCGGAGTTTGAGTTCCTCCGAGAATTTGGAGATCTCAAAACAGAAGAGCAGGTATTTGCAGTACACACATTTAAGACAATTAAAGCAGGTTAGGATTCTTTTAAAGTAAATGTTTTAGGAATTCTTTGGTATTTTAGTAATGTGAGATAAATATTCCTGTCCAATACTATGTCCTATCTTGTCTTATAGGTTCAAAAACTACAGGCCATTCTCAAACCAATGATGTTACGAAGGCTTAAAGAAGATGTTGAAAAGAATTTGGCACCAAAACAGGAAACCATAATTGAAGTTGGTTCATATTACACATATATATTTATAAAATGCTGAATTTTGCCAGTACTTATGTGTATCTTTTCTGACCAGGTTGAGTTGACTGATGTTCAGAAGAAGTACTATCGGGCAATCCTAGAGAGAAACTTCAGTTTTCTTAGTTTAGGAGCAAGCAGTAATAGCAATGTCCCCAATCTGCTCAACACAATGATGGAGCTGCGCAAGTGCTGCAACCACCCCTACCTCATTAATGGTGTGTATCGGTTTTCATGACTTAACTAATGACTGCAAATAAACTGATACAAAAATAAAATGTCTAACCATTTCATTTTAAAGGATATAAATTATAAAGTACATAAATGAGTCTCATCTCTCACACAGGCGCGGAAGAGAAGATTGTAGCAGAGTTGCGAGAGGTGTATGACCCCACTGCGCCCGACTTCCATTTGCAAGCCTTGATCCGTTCGGCCGGAAAGCTGGTGCTACTTGACAAGCTGCTGCCACGTCTTAAAGCTGGTGGCCACAAAGTGCTCATCTTCTCTCAGATGGTGCGCTGCCTCGACATTTTAGAGGACTACCTCATCAACAAAAGGTAACTTTATATTTAGCCCTGCTTTCTCTTTTAGTGCTATGTGGGAGCTTTAGTTGTCTTTGCAACTTTTTAGGTATCTTTATGAGCGCATTGATGGCAGAGTGCGTGGGAATTTACGTCAGGCTGCCATTGACCGCTTCAGTAAACCCGACTCGGATCGATTTGTCTTCCTGCTGTGTACCCGCGCTGGGGGCCTGGGTATCAACCTCACCGCTGCTGACACCTGCGTCATCTTTGACTCCGACTGGAACCCACAGAACGACTTGCAGGTATTGCTTCATTCATGTTCTCTCAAATTTATGTTAAGATGTCAATATTTTTTATAATTATTTTTTTTTAAGGCACAAGCCAGATGTCATCGAATTGGCCAGTCCAAGGCAGTCAAAGTATATCGCCTTATCACTCGAAACTCTTATGAGCGAGAAATGTTGGATAAAGCCAGTTTGAAGCTTGGCTTGGATCGTGCTGTTCTGCAGAGCATGAGTGGCAACAAAGACACCAGTGTTAATGGGGTATAATTATCGCAATGTTTTCTTATTGATAACCTTTTAAAAATAATATTCAAAGAAAAAATCATGACTTGCTTGCCAACTATTATAGATCCAACAGTTTTCAAAGAAGGAGATTGAGGATCTTTTGAGGAAAGGCGCTTATGCTGCTATTATGGATGAAAATGATGAAGGCAGTCGCTTCTGTGAAGAGGATATCGACCAGATCCTTCAACGCAGAGCAACTACCATCACCATCGAGAGCGAGGGGAAGGGCTCTACTTTCTCCAAGGCTAGTTTTGTGGCTTCAGAAAACCGCACAGACATTGCACTGGATGACCCAGAGTTCTGGCAAAAGTGGGCCAAGAAAGCTGACATAGACATGGACTCCATGAACAGAAAGGTAAATTTTCTTTAAATTTCTTATGATGAGTGATTTTTGTAATGTGATGGATTTAGGATATTTTTTTTTGTTCATCTCATCTCTGATTTGCTCCTAGAATACGCTTGTAATTGATACTCCACGAGTGCGTAAACAAACGCGGCAGTTCTCTTTGAGAGGCGAAGGCGACATGTCAGACCTGGACAGTGATGACGAATATCCACCGGCAAATTCTCGGCAGTCACGAGCCTCAAGACGAGCAGAGCGCCACAGCGGAGGAGGCTACGGTCGCACTGACTGCTTCAGAGTTGAGAAACACCTCCTGGTCTATGGGTACATATCCTACATTAAAGTTGGGATGTCGTTTTTAATTTATGCCTCACAGATTAGCTGACATTTACTTAACTTCTAGTTGGGGTCGCTGGAAAGACATCCTCTCCCATGCGAGATGTAAGCGGCGTCTGAGTGAACGTGATGTGGAAACCATCTGCCGTGTGATCCTTGTGTTTTGTCTAATCCATTACCGTGGTGATGAAAACATCAAAAGCTTTATCTGGGAACTTATCACGCCACCAGAGAATGGACGAGAACCTCAAACATTACTCAACCATTCAGGTAAGCCTTGGAAAAGAGCTAAAGAATTACACAGAGAATTTGTTTTTTCATGTTTTTTCTCCCAGGGTTGTCCATCCCTGTGCCTCGTGGGAGGAAGGGGAAGAGGGTGAAGGCCCAGAGCACTTTCGATGTTCAGAAAGTTGAATGGATCCGAAAGTACAACCCGGATACTTTATTGCTGGACGACAGCTATCGCAAACACCTCAAGCATCAGTGCAACAAGTATGTGAAGAATTTAAATTTTTCGCGAAGCTTTGATTTGACACATTTTATTTAGATTTTATTCTAAAAATGTGTGCTTTTCAGGGTGCTGTTGAGGGTGCGTATGCTTTACTACCTTAAGCAGGAAGTGATTGGGGAGCATGCGGAATCTGTCCTTAAAGGAGCTGATATCAGGTCAATAATTTGAGAAGACAAATTATTTAAAAAAAAAAAAAAAAAAAAAAGCACATGGCTTCACTTTTGATGTAAAATTAACTAAAGTGACAACATTCACAGGGATCTGGATATCTGGATGCCAGAAATGGAACAAACTGAGGTGCCCTCTACCTGGTGGGATTCTGAAGCAGACCGCTCGCTACTTGCAGGTGTATTTAAGCACGGTAAGCTATGGTTTTGTTTTATTCATATTTAGTTTTAGGTTGTGCCAGGTGCTTAAAATGTGATGTTATTTTTATTTGTTTCAACAGGTTATGAGATGTATACGACCATGAGAGCTGATCCTTGCCTCTGTTTCTTGGAGCGGGCGGGTCGTCCGGATGACAAGGCCATTGATGCGGAACAACACACTGGTGATGCAGAACTTGGAGACGAGTGAGTGCTTTAAAGCTAATTATTTAAAATTTTTGAAGGGCTTTATTATTGTTGTTTCCTTTTTAATTGTAGTGCGGATTTTGACAAGTATTCAGAGGACCCAGAGTTTAAACCAGCATCAAGACTACCCAAAGACCTCTATGATGAGGTACGTTATCATTATTGTCTTTTCATTTATTTACAAATTTGGATAATTTAAACCTTCCTTTTTAACCTTGCCCAGTCTGACTCAATGAACGTAGAGGATGAAATTTCAGTGGAGGACAAAGTGGGCCCAGTGGTCTCAGAACCAGCAGCAGCTCAGAGCGGTCCTTGTCAGTGGCCTTCCAGTTCATCACTAACGGCACGATTGCGAAAGCTGATCACTGCATACCAACGTAGCTACAGACAGGAGCAGCTAAAGATCGAGGCTGAGGCTAAAGGTGACCGCAGACGGAGGAGGTGTGAACAAGCGAGCAAGCTCAAGGAGATAGCACGTCAGGAACGGCAGCAAAGGTATTCACATTTCTCTGGGTAAAATGCATTTGAAGGTTCAGAAATGTTAATAAAAAATCTTAAACAAATGTTTTAGATGGACACGCAGAGAGGAGTGTGATTTCTATCGCGTGGTGTCTACGTTTGGTGTGGAAAAGATGAAGAAGGAGCCAGGTCTTGAAACTGGAGGAGCTGAGTTTGACTGGACTCGCTTCCGTACATTTGCACGTTTGGACAAAAAAACTGATGAGAGTCTGAGTCGATACTTCCGCTCATTCGTTGGAATGTGTCGGAAAGTCTGTCATCTGCATCCAGTTCGGGCAGAAGGTAAGAACATCTAAAACACTGAAGCACAAGATGAAAGATGAACATACAAGGGCCAAATTCTGTTACTTTTCTAGATCCAGCTGAGCCCACTGTAGCTGTAGCTCCCATCACTGAGGAGCGTGCTTCCCGTACCCTTTACCGCATTAGCCTTCTTCGCCGCCTCCGTGAGCGAGTCCTGCCCCATCCCTCTCTGGAGGAGCGTCTGGCCTTGGCTCCGCCCAGTGCGGAGCTTCCTGCCTGGTGGAGTACCCCGGAGCACGACCGCCAGCTGATGCTGGGCGCTTCACTACATGGTGTCAGCCGCACAGAGCTCTCAATCTTTTCAGATCCGCAGTTCACTTTCACTCGAGCTCGAGACGAGTTTGTCCAAAATCAACAAGCGCCTCCCCCACCACCTCCTCCTCCTCCACAGCCCCAGAGTCTATTGCCACTTGTGCAGCTGAAGTCTGAGGAGGAGCTCTCAACTGTGAAGGAAGAAGGCCCTGAGCATGGCCACCTGCTTGGAGCTGATCTGTCTACTGATCTGACAGGCATGCCCCTCAGCCACAATGTGAAACCTGGAGACCAGAGCTGGAGCTTCAAGAGGAGCAAAGTGAAGTCCAGCCGAAGAAAGGAGGGTGGCTCAGACTCTGACTCTGACTCTGATTCAGGCTCATCGTCGTCTGATCGCTCTGGAAGCAGTGACGAAAGTGGGGACAGCGACGACGAGGGAGATGGAGGTATGATTTCTCCTAATGTACAATCTGGTTCATCTCTTTTTTGTTGTGCATTACATTTATATTTATTTCAGCAGGCATGAAAATAAATGATGAGAATAGTTTACTGTCAATCACTCAGTCTCAAGATGGTAATCCACCCCCTCTCAGAGTTGACTGGCCAAAGGTAACTGTGACTTCTTTGATTTTCAGCAGGAGTAATACCTTTACACCAAACTAAACCTGTGTACCTTTCCTTCAGGACCGTGTGCTTATCAACAGACTGGATAATTTGTGTAACCTGGTGCTGTCAGGTCAGTGGCCATCAGGGCGGCGCTATTTGCCAGAGGTCCAGCTCAACCCCATTGTAGACTTTGGAGGTGATGAAATGTCCTACACGAGGTTGATCCGTAAACCTTTGCCCATCGGCCCAGGCGCTGAGGGAGAGGATGGAGAGTTCACAGTCAAACTTCTCAAGGTGAAAACAGGCATTTTAAGATAATTAATAGTAGTTAACACTTTTAAAGATATTTTACAAAATCTGTGTCATTTATTTTGTCTTTCCAGGAAGAAGGCTTGAAGTTGACCTTCTCTAAGCAGGCTCTTATGCCCAATGGCTCAGGGGGAGAGAGTAGCCGCAAGAAACGCAAGGATCTTGAGGTAATTTCTGTACTTTGCTTTTGTTGAAAAGTTTTTTGTATTATGTTGTGGCTCTGCTGCACTTAATTTAAATTTTATTTGACATTAATTGTTTCTAATTTTACATTTGTCTATTTTTAGTTTTCAGACCCAGAGGGGATTAATGATCCACTGGAGCGTACTCCCCGTCGAAGAGACCCTCCAACATGGCTAAAAGAAAACCCAGATTATGAAGTTGAGGGGGATATGCTGGAGGTACAGTTATTCATTGATTCAAAACATAGAGTACATAATGTTGAGTCATGTTCTCATAGCCACCTGTTTGTCTTTAGCTTCTGGTGAACAGGAGCAAACGGAAACGAAGGCGAAAGGCTGACAAAGTGTTGACAGGCACAGAGAAGGTCAAACTGATTAACATGAGGACGGGCAAAAAGGTATGGTTATTTTGAAAATCAAAACTTTATCTAAAATACTAAACGGTAGTATACAGCAGATTAGAAACCTTAAGATAAGGTAGGCACTTTACCTATTGTACATGGTGATATTATTGGAATGAAAATATGAAGACTTGATTTGTGATACAGATTTTTATACATTTTGGCCATTCTATTATTTTCATGCAGGTTGGAGCAGCTTTCTGTCCAATGCTACAAGACCTGAGAGAATATCTAGAGGAAAACACAGATAATGCTGTGGCACCAGATTGGTCTGAAACTGTGCGCAAATCTGTAAGTTATACCTTTATTACACCTTAGAAGAATTTGATTTTAAACTTTAAACCCATTAAATGTTATCTGTTTGACAGGGCTTCTTGCCTGAACATCTCTTCCACCGGCTGCTAAATGAGGATTCGGAAATTCCCAAGAAAAGCAAAAAGCGACACCACCATCATCATCATCATCACCACCACACTCCGGACCCCACTCCAGAGGAGCCCAGTCTGGACGGAGTGGAGGAGGAGACCCTAGTGTCGGACGGAGCCTACATGATGGATGAGGAGGACTTGGAAGCCTCCCATCACTTCCTCACCAGTCCAGACTTTGATGTGAAAATGGAGGGCGGAGACAGCCTTTCCCAGGACTATGACAGCTCAGACCAGGAAGCTCTTTTGGACGACGTCATCTTGGCTCAGAAAGACACTGACTCCTCCTCCAGTTCAGAGGATTGACCGGCCCCCACACCCTGAACAAATCAGACTGTGTCCTCATTGGAAAAAAAATCATGTTATTCCTCATTTATTTTTACTGTGTATCAAATAATGGATAAATGTTTTGTTGCTACTTTTATCGTTTATTTTATATAGGAGTTTTTCTTTTTCATGAACTGATGTTTGCACCCATCTGTTTTTCATTTTCATCTTTAATACTTTGTCCTTCTCAAATCCTCACAAGTCAAAAAGATTTATTGGCTTTGCCTCCTCTTCCACCAAATCTTGAATTCCTATCACATTCCCAGCCGTGACCAAAAGAGGACCCCTGTTGTACCAATCCCCCTTTTCTACAGACCTCAAAGCTGGTTCTAGATGAATCTGGACTCAACCCCATCACACAATCCTCTGCTATTTGGTCGGTCCAAATCAGATGAGCTGAGATGGGTGTGTGAATGTACTGTTAATGTTTTCATGTGGGAGGGTTGGGGTAAAGAGGGACATAATAGTTACTGAAGCAGGACTAGAAGGATGATGTGTTGTACATTGTAGAGCTTGTCAATTGTGTACTATGGTGCAAAGATGACAGCAATGAGTTACTATTCTTGTTTTATGACCTGACTGTGTCTGTGATGAATAACAGCAATCTACAGTGAACACTGCTTTGTGTGAATTATTATGGTTGGTGCAAGCAGTAAGGGAATTATACCTGCCTTATTTTTTAATTAATGTGCTACATTCAGTTTGTATGTTGTAACTATGTTCATTCAGTAGATATTTATAGAAGAAACACTACTAATAAAATGATAGATCTGAATGTGTTATACAGTAAACATACAAGTTTGCTTTTGTAACTAATAATTTGCAAACTTATGCAGATATTGTGTAGTACAGTGTAGTCTAAGAAATATGCTTTTTGAGGATATTATTTCATAGAAAATATTTGTAGAGCATTACTTTAGACGTTCTTCATTGTAATATTAACAGAATTATTTCAACATTATTTTTGAAAATTGCAGATAGAGTGAAATGTCACTATGAAGGGGTCTATCAAGCAGCAGACTTAATTTTATCTGTTTTTATTGTTGAAAGACTGAGCCAGAATATCTCTGACCAGGAATCTGGGTGGAGATAGAGAGTAGGTGAAAACAAGTTTTTTGCGGCACTCAAGCCTGAAATACAGGAATAATCCATCTAAATCTTACTCGGTAATCTTATGGGGGAACGCCATTAGACCTGTAACATAGTTAAACAGTCGATTTGACATAACGGTAAAGCTTGACTTACCAGAAGGGAATAAAATAACTTAAAAACAATAATAAAATGGAGAACCTCTACAGGGATCATCATGTGCGCCCTCGCGTGTGCTGGCGGTGAAACAACACGTGCATTCAATCAATGCCATGGAGGACGAAACACACTTCTCTGGGGATGCGAGCTCATTTTACTTACTTTTTAGCTTGTAATTACTCCATATAAACCTCCAAACTTGCACTGACTCTGAGTATACATACCATATGTCGCTAGATTGAAATAAACATCATTGTTTTGACCGGAAATTTTGACAATATGAGCCCAGTCGGTTGCTAAGCTAATAGGTATGCTAACAGCAAATGGGCTAAACTTAGTTAACTAAAGAGAAAATTAAAACCCTGCTTTGTCAGGTAGATTTCGCTTTGAATGCTGGTACTATCTCGATATATCTGCGATTGATTTTTCAACAATGGATCTCAATTTTTACTCTGAACTCTCGGACACCCAAAACGTGGATTCTGAGTTTTTAAACACACAAGCTTTTAGTGGTTACTCTGAGGAAAATAAGGTAAAGCCATCCCTACCCTCTACAGATGCCTTAGAAACTGCTATTTGTTCCTTTCAATAATTTGAGCTAAATGATTTCAGTTTTCGGGGGGCGGAGACAACTATCTTACAATAGATGGAGGCGGTCACCCCTTTCTATCTGCAGAAGTGAGTGTACATATCCATGACAAAGTGAAATCGTGCAGTGTTTTGTTATATCACGTGTGTTTCCATTTCCTTCTGTAGCATACCTTTCATACACCCAGCCTGGGGGATGAGGTGTTTGAGATCCCTCCTATCTCCCTTGATCCAGATTCAGCTCTCAACATCAGTGATGCTGTGTCTCACTTTGAGACGCCTGGGTCCCGCAGTCTTGTTAGTAACATGGTAGTGGAGGCAAACGACCCCTCATTTGCGTCCACCTTTTTCAACTCTGGGTCCCAAGGCATGGCCCAACACAACCTGCGGGCAGAGGCACATGCGGAGGGAAGTGTTCTTCTCAGCTCATCAGCTTTGGTAAATATTTTTATGCTTCTTTAATGTTGTTAAATTCTAAAATATTTTTAAGTATGGTGTGTCTTGTAGGAAATGGGAAATACAACATCCCATTTCAGCAGTTCCTCTCCAATGACGATTGATGTTCAACTTGGAGATATGGAGCCAGGGCTTTTGGGAAGTGGTCAACTCAGTACTATTAACCCATCAGAGCTAACCCTTGGCCTTGGAGACATGGGGGAGAGGTCAGAAGTCATGCCCACCACCCCATCACCCGCGGGCTCCCTACAAGATGAAGACATGGATGACTTCAAGGTTAGATCATATGCTGTTGACTAATGGTAATAAATAAAAAGACCTTAGCTGACTCAATACGATCTTTATTTCAGAGGAGTGTTCTTGTAGATTCTCCTGTCTCCGTCGCCTCCATTTCACACACGTCGTCCCAAGGCAGCTTGGCAGCCCCCACAGCCCGGAGAGGTGGAGGGAAACCTGCCACTGTAGCTTCACCAACAGCGGTAAAAAAAGGCAGGAGGAAGAAGGACCCGAATGAACCACAGAAGCCAGTGTCTGCATATGCTCTGTTCTTCCGAGACACACAGGCAGCCATTAAGGGCCAAAATCCAAACGCTTCTTTTGGAGAGGTGTCCAAAATAGTTGCTTCAATGTGGGATAGTCTGGCTGAGGAGCAGAAACAGGTAGGACAATCTCACACTTTTACATATTTGGCACATATTTTTATACAAGATTTCTGAAATTCAATTTGAATTTCAGTAATGCAGAGTGTATTCTTGGTGCTACTGCTGTTGCAGTATTTCTTATGTGAAGAATCTATGCAAATATGTTATTTATGTCTTAGGTTTACAAGAAAAAGACAGAGATAGCCAAAAAAGGGTATCTGAAAGCCCTAGCAGCATACAAAGCAAACCAGCTCTCACAGGTATGGTAAATCACAGTGTGTTTTTGTTTTGTTTTTAAAATAACTTACGGTTACAGTAACTTACAAATCTGTTTACTTAGTCTAACTCTGAAGAGATGGAGGCTGAGTCAGCATCACCTCAGGAAGGCAGCCCCAGTCCTACAGCCCTTACCTCCACTGAAGAAAACATCCCCAACATTATATTAAATTCAGGGCCTAAACCCACAGCTACACCACAGTCTCCAACCATAACCAAGATCATTATTCCAAAGCACATGCTGCAGACAGGGCGCCAGTTGGTCACAGTGTTGCCAGGCGGGGTGCGCGCTTTGCAGCCCACCACACTCCTCATCTCTGGTGCTGCTCGTGGGCCTCCTCCTCTGCAGCAGATGCAAAATGCTCCTCCACCTCCACGACTTCAGCAGATGGCCCCCGGCCCTCCGCGACTACAGGCCAAGCCCTCCACAGTTCAGGGTGTGTCCGTCTCTGCAGCCCCGCCTCCTCCACTCCAGATCAAAATAGTGCCCGCTTCAGTGCAGTCGAATACTGTGGAGTTGGTGAGCACCACAAATGAGCAAGGAAACCCTGAAGACGATGATGTTACAGAAGTGGAGCCTTTGGAGGAGGTGCACATTATTTTTATTTGTATTATTTATACAAATATTTGATAACGGATGATACACAGATCTTTAGTTTAGTAAAATATTTTCTACCAAATCATAGGCTTCAGAAGTTTGGCTACTTCTGGAATGTTAACTTCCAACGTCCAGTCGGGTTGTCAAAAATGTATATCAAGATCATTATTGGTTATTGATACTAAAACTAGTATCAAAAGTAGATATTCATTTGATATTGTATCAATGCTCTGTATTTGTTTTAACATTGTGACAATATTACTAACAATCTATCCACTATCTGTGCCAATGGCTGTTAGTTAGTGATGGCAGTGGCAAAATGTCAAATATAATTTGATTGGTTCATTAATCACGAAATAAAACTCAGTAAAACATATACTCAACATGTGTTTTTTATTGACAGGATGTGATGGAGGTGAGTGCACCCACAGTGAGTTCAAAGATGGTGTGCCTCAGAGCTGGCTGTAACAAACCTGCTGTGGACAGTGAAGACTGGGACAAAGAATACTGCAGCAATGAATGTGTGGCCACTCACTGCAGGTAAGAGACTGCAGAAGATGGAAGGTGTATTCAAATAAAATCTTACAGGCTAAAGTCGTAGTCTGGAAAATATTCACTATTCACTCATCTATTTCATCTGTAGGCACCGCCATTGTCATTTGGGTTGTATATTTTGCGAGAGGCTGCTGATCTTTACAGTAAATAAGTTCAGTACGGACTATAAAGCCGTTTTAAAGCCTTCAGAGAATTGGTGCATTGTTGCTGCACATGAATATTGAACATTTTACACAAATGAACCTACTTTATATCATATTTTAGCAGCCAAACATTTCTGGAATCTTTTTCATATTATTTGCAGGGATACCTGTTGTAAATATAAATTATAGTTTCACATAATCAAGAAGCAAGAGGTGCAGAGTCTTTTAGAGTTCCACATTGATGACATTACAGTGGGGGAAATTCTAAGATTCTACACAATTTATATGCAAGAAATGCCTGATAACTTAAACATTATTTCAACAAAGTAAATGTGTTTTCTTTTTATTTTATTTATTAGATCATAATTTCTGCATACATTAGAGGAGTCCTGGCCCAGTGCATCACATGGTTATTACAGTAACAGTAATGGACTTTCCTAGTGTAATGTCATGATTTACAAACATGAAATACATTTTGAAACATAAAAATATTACAAAACTGGGAAGAAATTGCTAAGATTTTTAGCAAAATCTTACATATAATAATTTTAAGTGTGTTTTATTAAAATGCGTAGTTCAACCTGTCATGGGCACTTTTGGATAATAACACATGAAAATTAAGTACAGTATAGAATGCATATTTCATACAGGAATAAATTCTCTGAAACTGCAAATAAAGCATTAATAAATTACCGTGAAATCAATATTGTGTCAGTGACATGGAAAAACTGTGGGTATGAACATAAAATATTTTCTAAATATTCTTGTTATTGGTAAAAGCTTTTAAAATAAATTCATAATATTTTTCAGACACCATATAGATGGCAGCATTTACTTTGCTAGAGCTTTATACTGTTACTGGCCACGAGTCCTCATTGGTTCGTGGGGCTGTATTTTTTCCTATCACTAAGTTTTTCTATGTTATGTTGTTGTATTCAGTTATGGTGAGTCTCTTGTCAGGTTACCATTGTTACAGGACATAAAACAAACATATTATTTGCTTAAAACCAATTATGTAAAGTTTTATTTGAAGTTGATAAGCAGTGCAGACAATGTCATTAATCACAAAATGTTTGTGCTTTTAGGGATGTTTTTCAGGCATGGTGTTCCATCAGAAGTCAGTCCGTTGCTGCAGTGAAGTGAACTCTGCCCCCACACACAGGACTCACTGCCAGTGTTTGTTAAAACGAGTGTTACTTGTAGTTGAAGTCTAAAATGAGGGTCATAGTTCTTTCATTCAGTCAAGTATTACACCATACCTTCATCAAGTGCCACTGCCATAAAACTGGTTCAAACTGGCACTAGATAAGACAAGGCTTTAGGCAGCTAGAGATTACAGCAGATGTGCCCAGACAGTAGACATTTTACCAAAATTGTATTTGACTTAAAGTATTTTTCTATCTGTGAATTTAAACAGTAATTTAAAAAAGGTGCTTATACTGTTCACATTCATGTTGTAGTCAGTGTTTGTTTCAAGGATGTTTCATTCAAAAAGTTTCTAATGAAAGATACATTTTGTATAAAGTCAAGACATTTTTATACAACATTGTGTTGGATTCAGTGACCACCAAAACATTTTATTTTCTTGTTTCCTAAATAAATGAGAGCAAACTGCATGCAGTGGTTGTTACTTTTTGTTTATGGCTTTATTTTATCTTGAGTTGATTGAGAATTATACATACACAATAAATGAGACTAAAATAGTCTTCATGTCACCAGCAGTAAATTATTATATGGTTACTCACTTTAGCTGATCTATCAATACTACTTAATCAGTCAGTATTATCAGCAGACTCTGCATATGCCTGGTGATGCCATCGCGGTACACTGCTTCCTCTGCAGCTTGGTTTACATTTGATTCAATTTAGAATCAAATGTATTCAGGCTTTTTTGTTCTAATGCTGAAACATAAATTTTTAATTTGGTAGTGGTTGGGTAAAAAGTAACAAACAGGTCTAGGTGATATGTAAAAATATTGGTAATTTTTTTTCCGCATATAGATCTATCACAAATATATAAGAATTAAATTTTTTTTACCCATCAAAAATAAATACAACTTACAATTAGAATGTTCATACATAAAAAAGACTCTATAACCCTATATAAAATCCTCAGCTTTAAACAACAAATTAATACTTCCTACTCCAGTGCCATTTAACACACACAAAAAAGTTTGCAAAGAACTTTGATCCAAGCAATGTGCTTTTACAAGATTGGCTGATAGACCTGTCGATTACAAAAACACAAGCCTGTAAAAGTAATCTGCAGTAATAATTAATTGCACTGCCCCATTCAAAAACCACAGCACATCATGAAACTGGGGATTCTTTGACTCTAAAAGCTCTCAAGATGGAGGCCGAGCTGGAGAGGTCCGCTCGATACAGGCCAATACCGAGGCACACAGCCTCCGTCAGCTGGACTCTGAACTCATGCAGCTTTGTCACTTTGCCTCCTGTAGTGCTGAATGTGATGATGCTTTTCACGAAGTTCACAGTCACTGCTATTCGGTTTGTCTTTAGACTTTCAGCTAAAGCAGTCTTTTCTTTGTTGTGAAGTACGTACAGTTTGCCCTGATCGTTGTGTAAGAGGCTCCATGACTTTGCATTGCTCCCAAATGAACTTGTTTCTTTGATTTTGCGTTGGATGCTTTTGAAAGTCACAGCGATTTCCCAGTAACCACTGGCCTCTACTTCCCAAATGTGTGTCCCAGAGGTGAAGCACTGGGAAGAGAGCACTTGGGGGACCTCGGTGAAGCGATGTCTGTTGCTGGGGTACGCCATCTTGGTCTTGACCCGCTGCACTGTCTGTAAGTCCTCA